ACCCATACCTAACTATAAAAATTGAATAAATTGACATAAAATAAATAGAATACTAGCAAAATATGGGAATTTCCATATTTGCATTTCTAAGAAAAGTTCTACAAAGAACATTTCTTGAAAATACAAATTAAAGAAAGTATGAAATTCAAAGTCAAAGTTTTATTATGGGCGAATTAGCAAAGCTAACGCTTATCACGCCCCATAGGATTTTTACAGAATGTTTTGGACAACTTTACAAATAGCAAATAATGATAGAAATGTTTGTGATAACCAACAAAGAGCGCTGGACAGCTGTTTCGTCCTGTTTGGGACTCGTCAGCAGTGCGTATCTTTTGTGTGCCTGTCAGGACTCGAACCGCGATNGATGCAGCAAGTTGGAATCGAGTGGAACACAATTCCACAATCGCTGGTCACGCAATGTGCGAAGGACATGCAGTTGATTTCAAAAACCCGCGCATTCTAAAGCGTGGGTTCAGAAGTCACAAGGAACGATTGATAGCCGAAGCGCTCCTGATCAACGCTGAACCTACGGCTATCAATCGATCTGATGGGGCAGTCACTCTACAGTTATGACAACAATTAACACTTACAAAATAGTCTCGCCTCCAACCCAAATGCCAACTGACCAATTCACACGTTTTGACCTAAAGGTCAAACCAATTTCACTCGTCCCAACCACTTGTTGAACGATCACCAACACACACATACATACACACATGCACATACACGCTTGTTCGATTCACATCCGGGTTCTATAAGATGTCATCATCCCATCGCCTTATAATTGCTTGTAACGTGAGATTAACCGATTAAACGTCTTGAAAAAGGCCTTCCAAGAGGGTCGAATCGTTGTCACCAACGCCATTGTGTTCTGGTTTTCATTCATCGTGGCTAAGACAAGCTAATTTCCTCAATAAACATGAGCACGACGCCCAAGTTTTTCAGTGAGATCTGTTCCATCCACGGATTTCGTGTGACTAAGAAATATATTTTTTTTCTATCAGTGCTACTACACTGAATCGTGAAATTAATAAAGGGAATTCTGTAATTTAATTTCCCAATTCAGTGCTGTAGCTCTGATAGCAAAAATATAGCAAATATTTATGGAAACTTTCATTATTCTNCATTATTCTTTCCATATCGGAGTACTAAATGAATGCATTGTTCCTTTTACAGGTGGTCGTCCGTTTAACAGAAAAAGGCAACCCGGACTCGAAAACAACTTCATAAATAACGGACAAATTATTATAACGATAACATAACGATAGGATAATAGAGAAATTTTACGGGAGTGCAGGCGGGCAACGTCAGCCGTATTTTGCTCAAATATTTGCTCCTTGAAGAGAATCTGTGATTTTTTGATACCTTAACATAGTTATCAGTTATAGAACGGAGTGTACACTTTTCTAATAAAAATGACCAAAATGAATACTTTCTCTATCAGTGCTAAAATACTTCGATTCACTAAATTGTGGAATAAAATTAGGGAATCTGCATTTTTTCATGATTAAATACAAAATTTCCCAATACAAACTGATTGCAATGTGTTCGGCGTACATGTATTCTTATCCTCTTAACAGCAAATTTTGTTCTCATGCCTTACAAGGAACCCAAAATTGGGGAACTAATTTACAAAACGGAGACAGGTAATTGGAATTTGGAAAAAAGCTTAGGCTAGCTTAAGAAAAAGAGATTCAAGGGCGGTACCAGTGGGTTACGTCAGCCCAAAATATATTTATGCGCATCACTTATTCCCCTAAAAGGTTTGTTATAATGCTTCCTTCAGCACACATTTTAGGAGATCCGTTGTTCCCATTGTAAGATGCTTGGCTCGGGTGTGCCGCAGGATGTCCCACGTGAACGAATACACCAGACAACCGCAACTGGGCCGAGTCTAGGTGTGGGCTGGAACCGACGACAGAAAGGAAGTTCTCCGTGAAGAGGGTTAACTGACACTCTGGAAGAGAGGAAAATACAGACACCATGAACCAAGTGGTCCAGTGAGACATGAACACGAGTCACACTCAAACTGAGCGGCAGGTTACCAAGGTCAGTCAGTCAGTTCAGTTCAGTTCAGTTGCACAGGACGAATATGGCTCTTGCCAATCGAGCGTCCAGTTCGTTGTGTTGTCGGCTGACGGGAGTAGCTTTCAACACTGCGTACAGTTGATTGAGTATTTGTGATCCTCACACTTCAACCCCCGTGTCTAGAACGTTCCCTCCTTACGGGTATGCTAAAAGGGAGGAAAACAGGCAAGGAAATCTCCTCGCCTCATTGGTTAGAGACCTCAAGTACGTGTG